CCGAGCCCCCCCCCCCCAGTTAGCCTGCCTCTCTCCCCAGCAACCTCCGGCAGATCTTCCAGTCCCTGCCGCCCTTCATGGACATCCTCCTGCTGCTGCTCTTCTTCATGATCATCTTTGCCATCCTCGGTGAGTGCCCGTGCCTGCCAGGCGAGGGGGCTGCATTCTGCCCGGGTCTGAGAACAGAGTCGGCAGACACGCAGTGCATGTGGGTCTAGAGGCTGGAAGCCAGCGGCCCGGAGTCCGGGCGTAGGTGCCTCCTGGTCCCCACTGGGCATCTCCTGCCATGTGTGGGAAGGGACCTCTTGTGAGGGTTCCAGGGCCACTCAGGAGGGCAGAGGCCTCACCTTGTGACCTACATAATAAAATCCAGACAGGGTCTGAAAGTAGTGTGGATTCTGTGGGTGCATCATCAGGCTTAGGAGGGGGAGTAGTGGGAAGGAAGAGGAAGCACCGTTGTGTCCCCCTCTGAGCGCATTCTCCCCTCTCCCCCACATGCACCCCGTCCTGAGCTTATCACCCCAATGTGCCTTTACATCTTGACTTCGGTTACAATTCTTCGAGCCAGGATTAAATGGTATTGCCTGGCCTGGCTTGGGGTCATGCTCCTGTAATCCCAGTGCTCAGAGAGGCTGAGGCAGGAGGATGGAAACAACTTAGCAAAACCTTAGATTTTTTTTTTTTTAAGGGGCTGGGGATGTAACTGGGTGCAGAGGCCCTGGATAATGGCCAGTGCCACCAAAAGCAAATAAATACATGATATTGCTTTGCATATTAAAAAAAAAATCGTGTAAACGGTTGCAGAGGCGTTTGTCTCCTATGCGGCTTTCTCTTTTGCCCACTGTGCTTTTGTGGCCCATCACGCTGACATGTGGCCATAGTTCATCCCTTTTCCCCGGAGAGTAGGAATGTGCCAGGACCCCTTGGTCTGCTCCTCCCGAGATGGTGTCCGTGTCCTGTGTCCCAGGTTCTACCGCAGTGAGCCTGCTGCTTTGCTGGTGCACGCACCTGAGACCCTCCTGGCCAAAGGCTGGGCCTTTAGGGCCTGTGGCCTTGAGTTTCCCAGGGTGCCAGACAAGGTCACAGCCTCTGTCGTGTCCCTCAGGATAGGCTGACCATGTGACCTCAGCCCTGACCCCAGCTCAGGCAGTGGGGTCCTCACATGGCCAGGACTCCTGGGGTGGGCAAAGATGGTGGAACCAGAGAGCCCTAGCCCGAATGGCAGCGCCATGCTGACCTCAGGCACTGGTGATCGCTCTGTCCCAAGCTCTCAGCCCCCACACCCCACATGCATGGTGGAATCTCCCTGTGTTCACCCTGAGGGCAGAGTTTGTCTCTTTTCTGGCCCAGGAGTTCCAGGACTGGGAAGAAGCCATCCCAGGAGAAGGAGGCAGTGGCATTCCCGGTCCGACCCCAGCTGCCTGGACAGTGTGCCCTCTGGGCTGTGACTTGGCTGTCACATTCTCACAACTGGTGCTCGCAAACCAGCAGTCTGTATTCTAGGCTCAGACCGCAGACATGTTCCAAGTTTGGTCTGCAAACTTGGAGCCAGCATTTTAAAATTCGATCTTACCCTAAAGTACAGGTTTCCAGATCATAAAGAATGGGCCTGACAGCCCTGGGAGAGGGGCTCGCATGCAGCAGCACCAGCTCCCCTTAGATGGTGCCTGTCCTCCCAGCGCATCCCCACATGCCCCCTGCCCTCCCTCCCTCCGCCACGGCGCTCACTGATGTTCATTTGTCTGATTTCGGGGGCCGTGGGCCAGGACCTGGGCTCTAACCATCTTTCTGTCCCATTCCAGGGTTCTACTTGTTCTCTGTGAACCCTTCTGACCCTGTAAGTAGTCAGCAGCTTTGTCTTTCTTACGGGAGGGATTTCCTTCCGATCAGGTGGCCGGAGTGACGAGTGGGGTCTTAGGGAGGGACGGCCTGCCTGGCTTCCCAGAGCTTCCTTCTCCGACCCCTGAGAGACCTCCCACTGGGGAAATCGCTTTCTTATCCTTACGAAGCCAAGTGGGTCCCCAGGTCGGGTCAGGAAGCCCGAGCGTTTGGCGGGGCAGTGGAGGAGCCGGGCTGGTGGCCCAAGCCTGTGACTCCGGACAGGTGTCCCCCAAAGTGGGACCTGATTTTGCCAGAGCACGGGGAGTCTGCAGGAGGAAGGGGGGACACTGGAGGAGCCCTGCCACGCGGTGCCTCACGTGACGCCGCTTTCCCCCTAGTACTTCAGCACCCTGGAGAACAGCATCGTCAGCCTGTTTGTCCTCCTGACCACGGCCAAGTGAGTCTGGGCTCCTCTTCGCCTGCTGTCCCCTGCCTCAAAGGGTCTCCCCCGTCTCCGCACACCGGCGCTGGGGGTGCTGTGACACAGGAAGGCAGACGAGGGGCTGTCCCTGGAGGAGAGGGAGGTGGGCCGCCCTGGGTAACCCCTGCCTCTGCAGCTTCCCAGATGTGATGATGCCCTCCTATGCCCGCAACCCGTGGTCCTGCGTCTTCTTCATCGTATACCTGTCCATCGAGCTCTACTTCATCATGAACCTGGTAAGTGTCGCACCGCTGCCTTGGCCTGCCTCAGCCTCTGGGCGGAACGTCCCAGACCCAGTCAGCGGACTGCGGTCGTCCTGCTGGTCCAGCCTTAGCCTGGCCTGTGCACAGATGAAATGATGTGACACCCTGGCCTGGTACGATTATGATTCTCAAAGAACGGATGCAGAGACAAGATGTCACCCTGACCGAGGGACCCGGCCCAGGGTACGTCCCAGCCACCCCACCTTCCTGCGTCCATGTGCCAGGACATCTTGTGAACTGACTTCCATCCCGTTTACCACTGCACCGGCAAACCTGGCGTAGCGTGTAAAGTCCCTGCGCAGAGGCATGGCTGCCACTGGGCAGGTTTCCCGACAGCACAGGTCCTGGCCACTGCCAAGACCACGTGTCAGTGCCACAGTCACCAGGGGGGGGCTTTAAATCTGTTCCGTGGGATTTGCTTGTTCCTTCTGAGGTGCAGGGGATAGAACCCAGGGCCTACTCACACTAGGTGGCTCACCACCAAGCTATGGCCCAGATGTGTGTTTCTTTGTAAACTTTGGGAAAGCACTGTTACACTGGTCACCATGGTCAGGCTGGTGTAGAAATGGAAAACACTTTCCCTGGGTAAATTTGTGAGATCTCCTGAAAGTTAGCGATCTTAAGAGAGAAAGAAGATATTTTCTGTTTTTCATTCTGCAAAACCGAAAGGGAGTGCATGGCAGGCTGTTCCCACTGCCCTCTGGCTCCAGTGAGTTTGCTGCAGTGGCTCATGGGAACCAGGAGACAGGTTGGCTGGTTTGTCATGGAGGGCATCAGGGGGCAAGGCATGGGGGAGGCACACAGAGCTTCCTTGCCCTTGTCAGCTGCCACCTGCGGAGCCACGGTGTGCTCCACTGTCAGAAGTTCTCTGGGGCCTGTCCTGGTCTCCCCCCACCCCCCAGTACTAGGGGTTGAACCCAGAGCTTTGGCACTGAGTTACATCCCTAGACCTTTGTAAAAATTTTAAATTTTGAGGCAGGGTCTCACTGAATAAGTTGTCCATTCTGGGCTTGAACTTTCCTGAGTGCTGGAGTTACAAGTGTGCACCACCACACACAGATGAGTTTTCCCAGAGGCCTCCTGCAGTAGGAGGCTGGACCAAAGCGGGGACACTGGGCACAGGGGCTGGATGGTGAGAGTGTGCTCTCGGCTAACAGGCTGGGCAGGGAGCCTGTGAGACCTGTCTGCTTCAGCGTTTGCAGCTCTCTGTGTGTCCTGCCTACCCCAGGGCATCAGACAGGGCCCCTGTGGCTTGTGGAGGGTCCCACGGCCTGTGATTGCAGGAGGGAAAGTCGGAAAGTATTTTTATGGCCAGCTCCTAGACAGTTCAGGGCCAATTAGAATTTTATGACTTGCCTGGGGTTCAGTTCCTAGTACTGAAGAATAAAATCTGACGTAGATATATCATAATACCACAAAGTAGGAAAGCCTAGGGCCGGGGCCAACAAACAAGCCTGCTGGGTAGATCCTGCTCCCAGCCTGTTTCTATAAATAAAGTTTTATTGGCACACAGCCATGCCCATTTGTATAGTCAGGTCTGTGGCTGGTTTCACTGTTACGGCTAGGGGTTGATGAGTTGTAACAGAAACTGTCTGGCCTGTTACAGAAAAATTTGCCTACCTTCAGCTCACATAAAGTGGGGACCACTTTGAAGGAGTGAAGGAACAAGAGTTCTCCCCACAGTTTTGAAAGAGCGTGATCCTGAAAAGACAGTTTGGGCTTCTTCCCGTCTCTGCTCATGTCCTCTGCTGGTGCAGCCCAAGGCTCTAATTTGCGGAGTGTGGGCCTAGGCGGCTCAGGCACTCCTTCCTGGGCTGAGGCCGCCTCCTTCCCTTGTGTCTGAGGCCACCTGTAAAGCAGTGACCCCCAGAAGCATCGGGCACTCTGTCCCTTCCTGCTCGGTTGGAAGGGACACAGGGCACAGAGAACCCAGCCATCCCCCTTGCTCCTCCCCTTGCCCCTGGCCTGTCTGTCCCCTGCCTGGCTGCAGACAAACTGGAGGAAGCTGGGGACCCAAGAACTCTTTTGAGGGACGGGTGCAACGGGCTGCACTACGCTGCCCCTCAGAGCCCAGCCCAGGGCGGCGCCTGCGACGGCTCCAGGCCCCCGCAAGGCAGCTGGGGCTCTGTGCTTCCCTCCCAGCTCCTGGCCGTGGTGTTTGACACCTTCAATGACATCGAGAAGCGCAAGTTCAAGTCTCTCCTGCTGCATAAGCGAACCGCCATCCAGCACGCCTTCCGCCTGCTCACCAGCCAGCGGGTAGGGTGTGGGCCAGGAAGGGCTCGGCCGGGCGGGCGGCTCTGTCCTCCTCTCCTGCCCAGGGCAGCCCCAGACGTGGCAGGACCATCGACCTCACCAGCAACAGTTTGTTTGTTCTTCTGTACTGGGGACTGAACCGAGGACCTTCACACTGAGCTACATCCCCAGGCATTTTGTATTTTTTTAAAATTTTGACACAGGGTCTCGAAGTCACTAAATTGCCCAGGCTGGCTTTAATTTATGATCCTCCTGCCTCAGCCTCCCACAGTGCTGGGATTACAGGCATGTGCCACTAGGCGTGTGCCAGAAATAACAGCCTTGCCCTGGGGTCTCGAGCTGAGCACAGGCCCGGGGTTCTGATCCCTCGCCTGCTCTCTCTCTCGCAGCGGCCCTCAGGCATCTCCTACAGGCAGTTCGAAGGCCTGATGCGCTTCTACAAGCCCCGGATGAGTGCCAGGGAGCGCTTCCTGACGTTCAAGGCCCTGAACCAGAGCAACAAACCTCTGCTGAGGTGAGAGCGATGCCAGTGGGGCAGGGTGGACAGCATCGGGAGAGGGAGCTGGGGTGAGGAGGCCCCTGGAGCCTTGAGTTTTCCTCACAGAGCTGCTCACGTGTGGCAGTTGTGTTCATCGGGATTCTTCTTTGCAAGCCACAAAAGTCCTACTGAACCCCTTTTCTGGGTGGCTGGATAGAAAAGGCATGTTTGACCCGGGCATGGTGGTGCACGCCTGTAATCCCAGCACTGTGGGAGGCTGAGGTAGGAGGATTGTAAGTTTAAGCGCAGCCTGGGCAACTTAGCAATTTAACAAAATAAAAAGGACAGGAATGTTTGCGTGTGAGAAGGATGCCCAGCTGCTCACCTTCCAGCCCAGAGAGGTGGGCAGCATGAGGTCTCTGTGCAGTTCTGGTGGTGTACACTCGGGTGCTCTCTGTTGCTTACATGCAGCCTCCACTGGAAGAGGCAGGGTTCTCTGGTCTCAGCACGGCCGAGCCCTGGGGCTGCCCCTCCTGGGGACTAAGTGGTCAGTATGACCAAGAGGAGTGAGTCACCCTCGTCCCTGGAGGATGGGCTCAGGATGCTGCAGGCGGGGACCCCAGGGCCCCACAGCCCCAGCATGGCGCCCCTGTGCCCCCAGGCGTACCGCAGGCAGCACAGGCAGAGCTGAAGCCCAGCGGTCATGCGGGATTGACCTGCCTTTTTGCTTTGCTTACGACAGCCTGAAGGACTTCTGCGACATCTATGAAATCGCCACCCTGAAGTGGAAGGTGAGGACTCCCAGGAAACAGGCAGGGCAGGTCGGTGGGGCCCCCAGTGAGAGCCGTCGGCTGAGGGCAGCAGGGCCAGCTGTGCCTGCCTCACCGGGAGTGGTGTTGTGCTTGAGTCTTAGGTGGGCCCAAGGTCCCTGGGTGACAGCAGGCACCTGCCAGGGCTGGCTTGGGCCCTAGGGACAGTAGTCCCCACCCAGGGTGACTCTGATCCCAGTGAGCTCTGCCACCCCCAGTGCAGCTGTGTGGGCAGAGAAGGCACGCGGAGTCCTGGCCCCTCCCTGACATGCTGTGCCCTGCAGGCCAAGAGAAACCGTGAGCACTGGTTCGACGAGCTCCCCAGGACGGCCTTCCTCATCTTCAAGGGTGAGTCTGGGCCCTGGCGGGCGTGTGGCTGGGGCAGGTCTGAGGCTGTGTGCGCACACGTGTGCATCCAGAGAGAAAGCCTGAGTGTGACTGTGAGCAGGGTAGTGACAGCGGAACATGACCAGGAAGGGTCCACATCACTAACTCAAAACCCGGGGCTGTGGCACGGCCAGGAACGGTGCCTGCCTCCCCCATGTGCAGGAGGCCCTGGGTTCCACCCCCGGGCTGCGGGAGAAAAACCAAGCAGAGGGACCCGCTGGAGAAACCTTAGAAAGATACTCAGAAGAAAATGAAGATCCCTTCCCCCAACAGGGCAGCCACTGTTAATTCTCTGATGTGCTTCCTTCTGCTAGTTGGTTTTCTTTTTATTTTAGTACCGGGGATTTAACTCAGGACTTGCGAGGCAGGACGTTGGGCTTGCAAGGCAGGTGGTGGCACTACTGAGCAAAATCCCCAGCTCAGCTAGTTGGTCTTCTGTGCCTTCTCTTTTCTTTTTTGAGACAAGGTCTTGCTGAGTAGTCCAGGCTGGTCTCAAACTTGTGGTGATCCTCCTGCCTCAGCCTCCCGAGTGATGAAATTTTAGGCGTGCACCACCACGCGAGGCCTTTCTGTGTATTTTTAAGCAACAGTGGGATTACATTGCACATTCTTTCTGTAACCTACCTTTCCATCCAGTGGCATGTTCTACCCTCCTCTCTTGGCAAGCCGTGTGGGTAGCCCCTGGCACAATGCATGAATAGTCTGAACTTGAAGATTTTTCAATCAGGCACTCATAATTGTTTACCTATCAGTGCCCTTTACTTCAGTGCCAGATTTGAAGTTCTCATGGAAATACGCTCAGCCCACAGGAATTTTCTTGGGCAAAAAGCTGGAAGCCTTGGTCTAAGCCATTATGAACAAGAGTAAAGATGTTGCAGTCTCTTTTGTGATTTTTCCACAGCGAGGCCGTTGGGCACAGCTGTTAGCCCTCTCCCCACCTTCCTGTTTCTTTTTGAGACAAAGTCTTGCTGTGCTGCCCAGGCAGGCCTCAGTTTCCAGGGTTCAAGTGACCTTCCTGCTGCAGCCTCCCGAGTAGTTGTGACTAAGGCAGACCAGTCCTAGCTCACATCCCTTGTTATCTAAAGACTTTTCGTGCCACCTGCTCTGTGTTAGCACCAGGGCCCCTCCCCAGGGCAGCTGTGTGTCTTATCCAGGCTCTGAGTGTGATGTGGGTGTCGCTGTAGTACTGCTTTGTCACCGTCCTTGGTCACTGCCACCATCAGTACCCTGGTTGCCACGTGCATGAATTTTTGTGGGGGGTTGTGTTCTTACAGACAAAACTCCAACATTCACATGTCTTGTCTTTAAACAGGAATTAATATCCTGGTGCAGTCCAAGGCCTTCCAGTATTTCATGTGTAAGTGTGCACTATCCCAGCCCAGGGCCTCTTCCTCCTGAGCCCTGAGCCCTTCTAGATGGCGGAAAAGCGAGAGATGAGGCCTGTGGTCATGTTTCTGACCAGGCACGGGGCTGAGGGTGTGGTTCAGTGGTAGAGCAGGCGCTTAGCGAGCCGGAGGCCCTGGGGTCCAGCCTCAGTGTGTACAAAACAAGCAAAAAGGACGAAGTTCCTGGCCTGTCGGAAGTAGGGGAGAAGATTGTCTGCAATGCACACACCAGCACAGGGCCTGAGCTCTGTTAACTGTGGCCCTTCCGCCCATCCAGACCCCGCCCTCAGCTGGAGCTTTGTGGCAAACCCAGAACCACGGCGTGGGATTGGTTGATTTGTACCCTAGGTCTGCTTTGACCCGCATGCTCCTCTTCCGTCTCTTTGCCCCCTCTTGGAATATCCAGACGAGGAGACAGCACGCTGTGCCCTTTGTCTGGGTTTCCTTATCCCATGGAGCTCACTTCCTGAAATCTTCTGTGTCTCACACACTGGCCTCCTGTGGCTGTTTACATTTAAGCCATTTAGAAGGAAAAACAGTACAGTTACTCATCATATTTAAGTGCCCAGTGGCCACAGTGACCAGTGCCTCCCCGTTAGATGGCGCGGAAAGTGCTGTCCTCAGTCTGGGCTGATCGAGAGGCTGAGCTGGATTCGGCCTTTCCAGGAGCCCAGCCGGCAGTGGTGTTAGAGACCACAACTTGGGGTGCTAGGGTACTTGCTTCTGGGGACTGGTTATTGTTCCTTCTGTGGGTGCTGCTAGGATCTTGCCTTTGTAAGAAACAGTATTGCGTGTTCACTCTGGTACTTCACATTCAGGATTAGTGGGGTTTACCTGACTCTGTCAGTCTGACCTGTGCAAAGCTAGGTTCCCAAGAAGACTCTCAGTTCTACTCATTTGCTTTATCCCAGTTTTAGAATAGAAACCCCAGGACAATCCCAACAGCATGATGTTGGGGAAGAGCTAGGAACGGCACTCTGGGGACACACCCCCAGGGCACCGTTCTCAGGTCACACATTTGACTTTCTTTTCTTTCTTTATGGTACTGGAGGTTGAGCCCAGGGCCTTTGCCCTGAGCTACCTCCCCAGTCCATCTTTTACTTTTTCTTTGGACCCAGTGTCTCACTGACTCACCCAGGCTGGGCTTCAACTTCCCACCCTCCTGTCTCAGCCTCCCAGCGTGCTGGGATGATGGGCACACAGCACTGCCCCCAGCTGGGTTTCTTTGGCTCCTAAAGGAGACCCTCAGTTGATTCAGCTCCTAGCAAGAGCAGGAGCAGGAGGAAACGCCCATGAAATGTCTCTCGTGGTCTGTTGCAGACTTGGTGGTGGCGGTGAATGGGATGTGGATCCTGGTGGAGACGTTCATGCTGAAGGGTGAGCGGGTGCCCCGCGGACGGTGGCCCTGTGGAGGCTGCTGGCTCACCCTCAGCCCCTGCCTGTCTGTCTTGCAGGTGGGAACTTCTTCCCCAAGCACGTGCCCTGGAGCTACCTGGTCTTTCTCACGAGTGAGTGTCTGGGCGGGGAGGCTGCCACTGCGTGGGCGTGGGAGTCACTGCTCTTCCCAGGGGCCTCGCAGGGGAGGGGCGGAAGTGCATTCTGACTTTGCCTCACCCTGGTTCCTTATCCAGACTCAGCCCTGTGCCAGCAGGCACAGCCCCAGCCCTGCTCCTGGTAGTGCCCAGCCCTAAACCTGGCATGGGAGAGGTGCACAGGGGTCTGTCCGAGGGACAGACAGGCCAGGCCGTCCCTGAAGAGGGGCCATGGTGTAGTGCTGTTCCCTGGGGTGGGTGTCATCTGGACCAGGACCCCGAGCGCATTGCTAACTGCCCCTCCTGCCCGCAGTCTACGGGGTGGAGCTGTTCCTGAAGGTGGCCGGCCTGGGCCCTGTGGAGTACCTGTCCTCCGGATGGAACCTGTGAGTGACCCGCGTGCTGCCCACCTGCTGGGGTTCTCACACCAAGTGGCCCCAAGGTTCCCGGGCTGGCTCTGCAGGAGTCGCTGAGCTTCCCACCCCGCTAAACCCGGCACCCAGAGACAGCGCCACCACCTCCCTCGGTTAGCAGAGGAGGGGCCTTCGTGGCCCTTCCCCTGTCACCGTGCTTACCCACACTCAGACACCCTGGGTTGTGAGCATGAATTACTGGTTCCCAAAGGGCATTAGTGTATGCCTGTAGCCCCCACTACCCAGGAGGCTGAGGCAGCAGGGTCACTTGAGCCCAGGGGTTCAAGGCCTTCCTGGACAACACAATGAGACCCTACTCACCCCCCAAAAAATAAGAATGGGCTTGAAGGTAAAGCTTAGTGGCAGAGAGCTACCCAGCACCGCTCACAGAAGACCGGCAAGGGCATGTCCTTGCATATGTAGAGACGTCATTCTGTCCTTTCTGCTGGGGGCCCCGGAAGTCCCACCTCTTCCCTCCTGTCCTGGGTATCGGGTGCTGCCCAGCCTGGATCTCGTGCCCCCTCCGGACTGGTTCCTGGGCATCTGTGCCCTGTACTGTGCCTAGGACTGGTCCCCCGCCCCAGGGACCCCAGGGCAGTAGCCGGTGGGTGGGGGCTGGTAGAGGTGGCAAGGACACAAGCCCCGGGGCCACAGCCCACTGTGGCTTCTTCCCCCGCCCAGGTTTGACTTCTCTGTTACTGTATTTGCCTTCCTGGGCCTGCTGGCCCTGGCTCTCAACATGGAGCCCTTCTACTTCATCGTGGTCCTGCGTCCGCTCCAGCTGCTGAGGTGATGGGCAGGGCCGGGGATGGGCAGAGCGGAGGAACCCCTGGGACTGGCCTGGGGGGTGACCCAGAGCAGACGGGAGACTCAGGGCTGCAGTCACGGGGCCGCCACCCTGCAGAGGCTCCAGGCACCATCAGGGGCCGGGTCTCCCAGGGGGCACAGCCTGCACCCACATCCCTGCTCCCGACATCCCCATGGGCCAAGCCACCCAGCTCGTGGCTCCCGGGAGCTGTGCCCGTGGTGAGACCGGCCATGGCCACAATGCGCAGTCAGATACCAGAGCACTCGGCTCGGCAGGGCCCTCCAGACCCCTCACGCTTTCCTGGCCCCCTTTTCCCAGGACCCTGTGGGGAGTCAGTGGGTCCTGCCCCACCCACCACACCTCTTCCTGACTAGGCTCGCAGGGTCTCCGTCCCACTGTCCCGTCCCCACTTTCCTGGAAGGCCATGCTGGTCCAGTCTCTGAGGAAAAGCCGCTGTCCTGCTGTCCACACTGGTGGCCTGCGTGTCCCTTCTTGCACACTGCCACCCTCTCGTCAGCAGTGAGCTCCTCTGTCGCTGTGGGCATCAGTGCCTCTTGCCTGGGTTTGCCTCGCTGTCTGGAGCAAGGCCTCAGCCCTCTCTGAGCTGCCTGCCTCATTTGTAAACTGGCAGAGTTGCTGCCACCTAGCTCGTGACTGTATAAGGCCCTGTGGGGAAGCCTGGCGTGGTGGCAGAGACCCATCATTCTGGCATCGGAGGGGCTGAGGCGGGAAGATGCAAGTTTGAGTCTCACAAAAACACGGAGCTGGAGGTATGGCTGTGTGGCGGAGCCTGCCTGGTGTCGCTGAGGCCCAGGGTGCCATTGGGCACGGGCTGCACCATCCCCGTGGCCTCTACCTCCACAGGCAGGTTTAAAAGGCAGGTGGCCCAGGCATCCACCTTGACTGCAGCCCTTCCCTTGCCCAGGTTGTTCAAGCTGAAGAAGCGATACCGCAATGTGCTGGATACCATGTTTGAGCTGCTGCCACGGATGGCCAGGTACTGCCCCGCCTCGGCCCACAGGCCAGCACCACGAGCATCCAACATAGGATAGGAGCATAGGAGCTGGGGGGTGGCGGTGCAAGGAGGAGCCCCAGAAAGTGGTAGAGCTGGGGGCCCTCTCTCGGCCACCCGGGTGTGCCTGGCCTTTGTTCTCTCTGCTGCCCCTCTGAAATACCCGTGGGCGGGCTGCGGCTCCTTCTCCCTCATCGCAGTCACCACCCTGTCTGGTTCACAGGTAAGGCTCCCTGGGAGGCACTGCTGCAGGTAAGGGGTGGATCTCCGCTCCGAGCGCTGTTGTGCCTCCGCCCTCACTCACGGCCCCTCTGGTCCTCCCCAGCCTCGGCCTCACACTGCTCATCTTCTACTACTCCTTCGCCATCGTGGGCATGGAGTTCTTCTGCGGGCTCCTCTACCCCAACTGCTGCAAGTGAGTGGCCAGGGGCCCCGGGGGCCGCTGGGAAGCCCTGGGCCTCGGGGCTTGGATCTCAGGGCCACGTGAGGAGCCTGGACGCAGGTTGTCTCGGGGTGATGGTGTTGGGTGGACCCATGTCCCCCACGCACGGTCAGGAGCCACGCTGCCATCAGGTCCCCAACGGCTCCTCCTTTTGCAGGGCCAGCGGCCCAAGTCCCAGGCTGCCCCCACTGTCCAGGATTGTTCGGGACCAGACATGGACAGGGCTCCCGGGGCAGCCTGTTAGGGACAGATGCACGCGGGAAGCTGTCCGTGGCCCTCTGTCCCTGCTGTGAGCTCACAGACTCAGCACCCTTCTCGCTCTGTGTCCTCCTTTCGAGTGGGAACCTGTGACCCTGAGTGCTGGCCCTGCAGCCACTTGGAGGGTCACACCGAGCTGGGGACCAGAGCCGTAGCAGTGGGCCACACACTGCAGAGAGCTTAAGAACCCAGAGGGTCTTCCCCACACGTGCATCCCAGACACCCCGGCCCAGACGTCCCCGCACTGCACCTGCTGTGGACTTGGCAAGAGACCCAGGACTGTGACTGTCTCAGCAGTGTAGAATTTAACCATCCATAAAGAATGGGCAGGTGGGGCTGGGGATTTAGCTCAGTGGTTCCACCGCCTGCCTTGCAAGTGCAAGGTCCCAAGTTCAATCCCTGGTACCAAAAACAAAGAAACAAACAAGCTGGGTTTGCAGCTCAGTGAAAAGCTCTAGGTTCAGCCTGCAGCTGTGCACCTAAGAGTGGCAGATGAGGTTCCCTTGAAATGGATGAGCCATCCTAATGTGGGGCTCGCTGAGGCAGAGCACCCAACCTGGTAAGGGAGCCTCCTCTGCCTGGAGCTGGTGCCAGGTGGCAGACTCAGGAGCACCGGAAGTTGGGGAGCAGAGGAAGCAGTGGCATCTCCCTCCTGCAGGAAGCTTGAGAGCAGAGCTCCCGGAACAGAGCTGCCAGGGATGACGAAGGCAGGGCTGGGAACCCCCAAAGTTGGCAGGGATGAGTGCACAGGGCTCCCGGCAGGCAGGACCCACAGGAGCTGGGGGGCAGGGGCAGGAAGGACCCGAGGCCTCACCTCGCCTAGGTGCCCTCTGCCGAAGGGAGAGGGAACTATGGCCTGGTGACCTCTCCTGCCCCGCCCCCGTCCCTACCAGCGCCAGCACAGTGGCGGACGCCTACCGCTGGCTCAACCGCACCGTGGGAGACAAGACGGTGGTGGAGGAGGGCTACTACTATCTGAACAACTTCGACAACATCCTCAACAGCTTCGGTGAGCGAGCCCCCACCCTGCTTCCCACCAGGCCAGGCGAGGCTTCGTCCCTGTGGCGGGCCCTGCTGGAGGGCGTGGTCCATGTGGCCAGGCCCAGGGTCCCCTCGGCCGCCACGCCTTTGCCTGGTGCATTTGGGCATTGCGAGGGAGGCTTGCCTTGGGGTTAGGGGGTCTGCACCTACCCTTCCTCACTGTGTCATTTGTGGGGGACCCTGCCCAAGTGCTGCCCCAGCTCAGTCCCTCAGCTCTGCTCTGTCCCCGAGTTCCATGGATTGACCTGGAGGGCTGCAGGGGAGTGGGCTCCTGAGAAAAGGGGGAGCCCTTGTGGCACCCCACATCTGCCCCAGCCGGCTGTGGTCCTACAGGGTGTTGAGGCGCAGGGGTCACCCATGATCTTCCTGAGCTCGCAGCCCAGGCGGCCACACATTCTTCCATCACCAGGGGCCTGGGGCCTCTGCAAGCTGCTCCGTCAAGACACCTCTGTGTCCCTCCCTTCACAGTGACCCTGTTCGAACTCACAGTTGTCAACAACTGGTACATCATCATGGTAAGGCTCTTGGGGCCCCTCCCCCAGAATGGAGGTCTGTCCCTGTCTCCCCGGCAGCCAGAGAGGACCCCAGCCTGCTTCTCTGACTTCTCCCACTGCGTGGAGATGACGTCAGTCAGTAGCGTAGCAGGCTGGGCATGATGGCAAACTCCTGTGGTCCAACACTTAGGGGGCTGAGGCGGGAGGGTTGCTGAGCCTGAGAGTTGAAGGCCAGCCTGGGTGACACAGTCTCTGAAAGGCAAAACAGCAGTGTAGCAAGGGTTGATTTCTCCATCCCTGTGCTGGAGAAGGCCCTGCGTTTGGTCTGGTCTTGGCCATCCCTCTGGTAGGATCTGTTACACCCCAGGGAGCCGGGCCCTCCATCTCCAGAGCTGGAGGTGCTGTAACAAGCAGTCTGGAGGCTGTGGGCCAAGGCCAGGGTTGGCTGTGTGGGCGCCAGCTCACTGTGTCCCCGTGCCCTGCAGGAAGGTGTCACCTCGCAAACCTCCCACTGGAGCCGCCTGTACTTCATGACCTTTTACATCGTGACCATGGTGGGTCAGGCACTGCGCGTCCTGCCTCCTCCGAGTCTTCTGGGTCGCACCTAGCGGCCCTTTTGGGGTGCGCGTCACTGCTGCTGATGCCCCCTTCCTCCGCCAGGTGGTGATGACCATCATTGTGGCCTTCATCCTGGAGGCCTTCGTCTTCCGGATGAACTACAGCCGCAAGAGCCAGGACTCGGAAGGTGAGCAGGTGGCTGTCGGTCTGTCCGTACATCTGTCTGTCCACCCCCTCCAGGGTGGACTCGCTGGCTGATGGTGTGGTGGGCCGGCCCCTGGCAGTCAGCACACCTGCCTGGCATTGCTTCGCTAGCATTGAAGCCTGGGCGAGTCAGGGCTTGGGAAGGGCTGGCAGCGAGGAAGGAGCAGCCCCAGACCGCGCTGTGCATGGGGGGCCTCTCGGTGCCAGCAGACTGGGTTTGGAGCTCAGCTCCCTCTCGCAGTGGATGGCGGCATCACCCTTGAGAAGGAAATCTCCAAGGAGGAGCTGGTGGCCGTCTTGGAGCTGTACCGGGGGGCACAAGGGGCTGTGTCCGATGTCACCCGGCTGCTCGAGACCCTCTCGCAGATGGAGAAGTACCAGGTGAGGGTGTGGCCTGCGTGCCCCTCCCTGCCCTCGGAGGCCCCGGGCACAGCAGAGTGGGAGAGTGAGTGGCACCGCCCTGGGCCCCGGGACATGGGACGGAGGGGACGCACGGGTTGGGGCTGTCAGTGGCCGAGCCCAGCAGTGGCCTCTGCTCCTTCTTCAGCAAAACTCCCTGGTGTTTCTGGGGCGGAGGTCAAGGACCAAAAGCGACCTGAGCCTGAAGATGTACCAGGAGGAGATCCAGGTAGGCCCTGATCCCTGGAGGCCTGGTGCCTATGCCCAGGGACGTGAGGGCTCTGGAGATGGGGGATATTGCTGGAGACACTGCAGGCGCACCTGGGACTCAGGCCAGACCTGCTCCACCTCAGAGCCAAGCTTCAGATAAAACTACCACAGAAGGGGTCGGGAGAGACAAGGGGAGCTGGGCCTGGCTGTCTGGGAGGATGCGCCCTGCGAGGACCGAGCCCCACTGCCCCAGCCACGTGATTGTCTGGGGCTTTTGTTTTAAGGGAGAGGTTGGGTGTTTTCCCCGACAGTCTCTCTATCTCCCCATATTGGCCACTGTGTTGCAAATCCTTCTAGAGCACCATGTGACTGGCACTGTGCCTTCCCGACTGAGGAGGTCACTGCTTGGGGGCCCTGATGGAGTCTCCATCCCTGGGGTCCCCTGTGCCACAGCCTGGTCTGGTGTCCTTCTGGCCGGAAGCCCTGTTTCACTAAGGCAGTGATGACTGTGTCCATGCCTGTGGCTCCTGGAAGTGACTTTAACACCATTGTCTGAAACCCAAGAAATAGTGGGCCACCTTCTCCAGGCTCACATAGTGGCCCCTGAACTTGGTGTCAGGCTGGATTCACCCCCATCTGGGACAGGGCCTGGCTCCCAGAGCCTTGGGGATCCTGGAGAGGATGAGTCTGTGCTGGTTTTTGTTTTGTTTTTTGTCATTGTGTATCTGCCTTGTTGAGACAAAGTTTCCAGGCTGGTCTTGAACTTGACATGTAGTTAGGCTTGCTTCAAACTTGAAATCCTCCAGTCTCAGACTCCTGAATGCTGGATGACAGGAGGTGCGACCATGCTTGGCTGAACTTTTTTTTTTGGTTTTTTGAGACAGGGTCTCACTGTGTAGTTCAGGCTGGCCTTGAACTTACTATGTAGCTCAGGCTAGTCTCAAACTCACAGCGATGCTCCTGCCTCAGCCTCTTAAATGCTGGGATCACAGGTGTGTGCTACCATGTCTAGCTTGAACTATCCTTTAAGGTCTGAAGCTCTGTAGTCTTCTCTGGTTACATAGATGACGTGAGCCAGGTGTGGTGGTATGCACCTATAATCCCAGACACTGAGGAGGCGGAGGCAGGAGGAACACAAGTTTGAAACCAGCCTGGGCAATATATCAAGGCCATCTCAAAATAAGAGAGACTGGGGCCAGGGATTTAGCTCAGTGGTGCCACCACTTGCCTCACAAGCATAAGGCCCTGAATTCGATCCCCAGTACCAAAAAATAAATAAAACGAGAGACAGTGTGTGCCAGGCACCCTTCACCAGCACGTGTGCTGACCCTCAAGTACAGAGAAGTGGCTTCCTTGCTCCACATTGCGGGTGCTGGTCCCACCTGGTCCTAGCGGGGTAGGCTGGTAGCTCTGCCTCCCGTGTCCACCCCACTGAGGGCAGAGGGAGCTGTAGGGACAGCGCAGGTCGGCAGGAGGGCCACCCTCAGCCCGCCACGCTCTGCCCCTAGGAGTGGTATGCGGAGCACGCCCGGGAGCAGGAGGCCCAGCGGCAGCAGCTCAGCGGCAGTGGCCCAGTGCCCACCACCCAGCAGCCCTCTGGCAGCCGCCAGCGCTCCCAGACGGTCACCTAGCACCAGCTGGTGAAGCCATCTCTTCTATGCAATAACACAGTAGTATTCTCTTCCTACCCTGTATCGGGAGACCGTGTGCGCACACACACATATATGCACATGTTTATACACAGCGAGAGCGGGCCACGAGCAGTGAGTAGTCACCTGAACCTGTCTTCCGGATGCCACAGTCCTGGCCTGCAAGGCTGACCCTGCAGGGCCGGGCTGGGCTGAGCTTCCTGCTGCTGCTTCCAGGCCCATAGGCCCCGAGAGCGCCTGTGAACCCTCCCTGTGACCTTGTCACAGGCGTATGTCTGGCTTTTGGGACAAAACCACTTACAGGTAGGAAGGAAAGAACTCCCCACCACGTGCTATTTCTCAGGTGAGAATGTACCCACGGGCTGGAGGGTGAGGTTACAGGTCATAGAGGGTGGTCAGTTGTAGGCAGCCAGTGCCGGGCAAGAGGTGGCATTGACCCATTTCAGTCCCACCTCTGCGAGCCTTCTCCTATGCACATTTGTTTAGCCCTTGTGGCCAGAAAACCTCCTGCAACAGCCTCCTGCACCCAAGTCCTCTTCTTGTGATGGGGCTGTGTGCACTGGGGACGCTCGCTGTGGCCATGGTGGGGACTCATCCCATCCTGAGGTTTTCTGTGGTCGGACTTTATTGCAGAGGAGGCTCAGGCAGACCCCCAACTACAAGGGCCCCAGTACCTCTTGGGCCGTCTGTGTGGTGACCAGAGGTGGCCAAGGTAGGACAGACAACACAAGCTGGAGGTGAGGGACAGCCGCCAGGCAGGCAGAGCCTGGCCCGGGGGAGCAGTCCCAGTCCCAACCCCTCCGGGCCACCCCAGGGCCAAGCTAGTCTGGAAGCCGGCTGGTCGCCCTCTCCCTGCAGCAGGGTGTAGAGCTTGTCCAAGTTTTAAGCACAGCCCTTTGGGAAAACACTGCTTCCCAGGGCGGTCAGGAGACGACATGGTCCTCTTCCTCTCTGGAGGGCCATCGGCCACGGCACGAGCCGGGGCCAGAGCTCTCCTCACCAGAGAGGGAAACTTATTTGCACATCCGGTGCCTTCTTTTTGTGTATTGGAATGGGGGGGCACCAGGGGATGTGGCTCTGGCCCACAGCCAGGGTGTCCTGGTGCTGTTGGGGGTCACTAGACCACCCTCCTGTCCCTGGCCTGGTCTTGGTCAGGGCAGACAGACGCACGGCAGCAGTAGGGTTGGCGGGCCAGACTCCAGCCAGTGATGAGGGCTGTCGTCAAGCCAGTGACACTGGGCGTCACCCCCGGCCGAGAGCTCAAGCCTTGGGATGTCACCTAGCTCAGATGACCCCACGCCCCACATCGTAGCCGCAGGACCAGGTGACACTTGCTGCAGACCCCAGGTCACAGCCTGTCCAGGGCAGCAGTAGCACCGTGCCCTCCCGCAGGCCATGGCGCTTTGGGGAGGACAGTGCCCCCCACCTCAGCCTTACTTCACACCACGCGCACAGTCAATCATTTTGTACGGATCTCGGGAGCCACGCTGTAAGATTTTATACGCTGGTGATTTGCTACGTAGTAACCCACTGTGACTCTGGATCTCTGGCCTGTTGATAATAAAAGAGCCTGTGCTTTGTAGACGTGGCTGCCGCCTCGTGACTTCCGGTTTATGTGGTGGGGGCCCCTCATGGCCCTTCTCACCCTTGCCTTCAGCGCCCCTCCCCTGGCCCTGGTAAAGAATTGGTAAGAGTCGGGCAGCCACTTCCTGGATGCTGGAAATGCTTCATCTTTACTTAGAAAACACTGAATCCCTTCACAGACAACGGAAAGCAAACTAGAGCTAAGTATTGATGGGCAGGGCCCACCCCACACCTGAGGTAAGCAGACACCTGTGATGCAGCCGGGGCCGCGGGGTTCTGGGCGCACAGTTCTAAGGACCATCCAGAGCCACTGTCCAGCCACGTGGCTGCCCCAGCGAGAGGTCTCAAAGCCGCTGGGTCCAGCGACAGGTGTTACGGGCCGTCTCATTTCTTCTGGTTTTATGGACTTCAAATTCTTAATGAGGAGGGTCCACCTGTTGTTCCTGCCCACCTGATGGCCCTCAGTCCGAGTCCCCCTGACTGCCAGGGTTGTGCAGGCGGCCGGAAGCCAGCGAGGGAGGAGGCAGAGCTGACCACTGCTGTCCCAACCCCGGCCTCCCCAGGGGTTCAGCCCCGCCGACCAGACCCCAGGCCCAGCACTGGGGCTGTGGCTGCTGGTAGCCAGGGGGACACAGTGGCGGCTCCCAAGAGCCCTGGCAGTGAGAGCAACCGCAGGAGCACGTCCTGTTCTGCCTTCGGGAGGCCGTGGAGACCCCTCATTGCCACGGCCGCACGCTGGGCGGCTTCAGTCACGTGTGCTTCATGTGAATCACCCCGAATTCCGTGAGCAGGGCCACGGTCAGGAAGGAGGCGTAGAAGAGCAGCAGGCAGATGCCATAGGCCCTGCTGAGCCGGAAGCACTGCAGCGGGACGGCGACCAAGGAGAACGCGAGGCTGAGGCCCAGGGCTCCGGCCAGCACCCAGCCCAGCAGGCCTTCGGGCTCCAGCTGCGGGGAACGAGAGGGCTGCAGCCGGCAGATTCCTGGCTGGGGCACTGCTGGGCACAGCCTGCTGCTGTGGGGACACCGGATGTGATCCCGGTGCTTCCAGACTCCAGCAACAGGGCAGGGAGCCCCGTCCACCTGCTCTGCTGACCCGCCCGCTTCTCCCGGCCTCCACTGGGTGGGTGGAGTCACGATTCCATGGGTTTGGTTCGGTCTTTGAGTGCCGGGAACAACCCAGGGCCTCTGCACTGAGCTACGTCCCCAGGCCTTTTTCATTCTGAGACAGGGTCTTGCTAAGTCACCGAGTTGCCCAGGCGGGGTGGGACTTCCATGAAGTTTATCAGAAAATAAGACGCTGAATGGGGACAGACGTGGTAAGTAGGGCAGTGAGGGGAGGGGAGCAGACAGGAGGGGAGCGTACATGGCCCTCTGCTCCTTCCTGTCCTGTGGGGTCTTTGCGAGGGGCCAGAACGTGGGTTCCGAAAGGATGCAGGCTGTGCCGCAGTGCAGCTACTGAGCACCTGCTGCTCACCAGGCGCTGGGAAGGCTGTGTGCTCTGTCCCTAACAGCAGTGCTGCTGTCACGTAAAGCAGACGCTGCCTCCGTGGGCAAGGGGGGCACCCATGCCAACCCCGGAAGCCTAGGGTTGGGGGGACCAGAGGTTCCAGGTAGGGGCTTCTAGGTGACACAAATTCATGTCCAGCCAGAACCTCAGTGTGACTTAGGTAGGTCTGGTGGGGCACACCTGTAATCCCAGAATTCAGGAGGCTGAGGCAGGAGGATGGCAAGTTCCAGGCCAGAGTGGGAAACTTAGTGAGATTCTCCCATGTAAATAGATAAATAAATTAAAAAAGTAAATTGTGGGGCTGGGGATTTAGCTCAGTGGTTCTGGCAGCTGCTTCCCAAGCACAAGGACCTGAATTCAATCCCTGGTACCAAAAAAAAAAGCAAATTGTGTTTCTTAACTGGCAGTTACCATGGACATTTTCACTGCTGTCTCACATCTGTCTGAGGCGATTGAACCTCCAGAGGATTTCCTCAGCTGCACACCAAGGTGTGGAAGTACACACCCGTGTACATACCACAAAAGAAGAGCAAGGGGGCTCGGAGCCTGTTATTTGGAACTGCCTTAGGATCCCCAATGAAAGGGACTTATTAGGCCGGAAAGTGTAAACAGCATTGGCAGTGTGTTCGCCTTTCAGAGAAAGCAAACTTTTCAAGCTCTAGGTAGCTATTTGCCTGTGGGCGTGGCCCATGTAAATCCGGGTAATTACTGGTCCGGCCACCCGGGGTCTATTCAGGACGTGGACGCCTCTTGGCGACTTGTCCCCCCTCATCAGTCAGCTTTCTGTGAGCCTCCAACACTCAAAGTCAGAGCTGTCGCCTGGGGAGCCTTAAAGCCAGCTCCTAGGCCACTTCCCTCCGGTTTAATCCTTCCAGTCTGTCTCAGAATTCAGGTCCTGCAGATTAGAGCTTGTGCTGGGGACAGGACAGCCAGCTCGCATCCTGGGGTCAAATCTGCTTTGCACAGGTTTGGTCTGCTCTGTGCCACACTCGAGAACAAAGTTCACCAAGGAGTCTGGCTTTCATCACACCTGGCCTCAGGAGACCCAAGAGAGTCGCCCAAATCTCCATGCCTGCCCGGCCTCGGGCTTGGAGTTTTCTGCACCAGCTCGAAGCATAGCCCCAGGCGCTACCCTGGAAAACTCCGGGCCCCTGGGACACCCCGAGGCATCCGTGAGCGGCCAGGCCAGTCAACTGTGTGTTCAGAGCCTCTCATCTGGGGGCAGCGCTGGGGTCTGGGGGCAGCCTGGCCCACACCCCACACTCCCTTATCCACGAAGCCAGGGAGGTGTTGGCCACCCCATTGCACAGGGGAGAAAGCCAGGGCCTAGAGACACTCTGATTCGCACAGCAAGATTAGAGGATGGGACCAGGACCCAATTCCTGCCTCAATGCTGCAGAGAAATCCTGGTTTCACTGTCAACTTGCAAGAAATACATTTTTTTTTCAGTCCTTAGCAAACTATTTTCAATTTTCTACAAAGCAGACTTGTCACAGTTCAGACGAGGTCCCTTCCCCAGAAGATGTGAACACATCCTAGGTGAGGAGGGAGGTGACAGGAGAGGCCCCCGGGGCGCTGCCACTCACCTTGACCTCCAGGCTTCCCCGGGCCATCTGCAGCAGGCAGCCCAGGCCCACGCCCACCAGGAGATCTGCAGGCAGCTCAGGAAATTTGTCAGAGCAGCTGCCCTAACTGGCAGGGCCATGGCCCCTCCTGCTGGGGTCAGCCTAGGGCCTAAGGCTCCCCCAGGAAGGAGACTGGCTGTGCCGCCGGTGCCCACTGCCCACCCCTCAAACATGCCATCAGGAGACCAGATCTAGGGGTAGCCCGAGTGGGTTCTGAGCTCACACTTTTCACTCAACCAGTAAGGACTCAACAAGGTGTCAGAAATGCTTGGCACTGGCCAGGCACTCAGGAGGCTGAAGCAGGAGGATCTAGAGTTCCTGGGCTATGCAGTGGTTTTGCAGTCAGCCTTGAACTTAGTGAGATCATAACACATGTGGGTCACCGCCAACCCCAGGAGTTGCTCAGGGACCCTCCGTCCCGCCCAACCCAAGTGGTGAGGAGAGGCCACAGCCCTGAAGGGCTGGGAGTGTCACCCAGCAGGTGCACCACGACTGTGTCACCAGTCAGCTGCTGGCATCACCCTGTGGAACTTGAATTTAGCAGCCACGGATGGGCACTGCCTGCTGTATACCACTGTGTGCTGGGCACCGTGCCTCCCCCACCTGCGACCTGGGCCCCTGCAGGTGTGAGGAGACAGAGGGCCAGGGAGGGGGAGGTGACGCAAAGTCTGCAGCCATAGCACACGGTGGGGTCAGAACCAGAACCTAGACTGTCTGCCATCAAAGCCCTGGGCCTGGCCCCAGCCTGGCTGTCCCTGGCTTTCCTCAGCAGACTGGGATGGCGGACAGCCCTTGGGCCAAACTAGCAAATGTCTGCATTTATAAATAATGTTTTATCGGAACAGAGCCAGGCCCTTTTTTATTGTTTGTTTTTGCAGTACTGGGGATCGAACCCAGGGCCTTCACACTATGCTACACCCCGGCTTTTTTGAAAAAAAATTTTTGAGGCAGGGGTCCCACTAAGTCACGAAATTGCTCGGGCTGGGCTCGGACTTGCAGTTCTGCTTCAGCCTCCCAGAGCGCACAGATTCCAGATGTGGGCCTCGACGCCCGGCTGTGGCAGCCGCCACACACCAGGTGCAGGTGCCCAGAATCCCTGTCACCCCCCTCTGTCCTGACCATGACCTTGATGTCAGAACTCTCCACACCCCACACACACAGCCCAAACAGACCCAACCAAACAGGATACTGAAGATGATGCCACCGAAGCAGGCGGAGAACGCCATCCGCGGGTAGCCCTGGCGGGCCAGGGTGAAGTCTGAGAAAGCATCTGCAGGGAGAGGGCGACCTTGAGTGGCGGGTGGCTTCCCTGGCCCTCACTCATGCAGTCAACAAGACACCGACAAAGCCCGTGTGGGCCTGGCACCGGCCAGGAGCAACTCTGGGTGTGGTGTAGCTCTGGCGGGGGCTGGAGAGCCACATTGTGCCGGTGCCACCCTGGGGGCCAACCCAGCCCCGAGTCACCTCCGATGCTGTTCCCCCAGGCCAGCAGCGTAAGCCCCAGAACCGTGTTGCTCAGCTGGAAGACAACACCCAGGGACCGCAAGATGTTCACCACCTCCGTGGCAGCTGCATTGATCCACAGGGCACTGGTCAGGAAGCCCAGGAAAGCAAAGAGCTGCAGAGGGAAGGGCATCAGGTGGGCTGAGGGCCAGCCCACTGGGCACAGCAGCAGCTCCTCATCTGTAAGATGGGTACAGTTCCTACCCCAGGTAGCTAACAGCACAGAATGAGCTGATACGCAGTCAGCACACACATAATATGTGCTCAGTTAAGTTAGTGAGATACTGTTTTTCTTTCTTTTACTCTTTTTTTAAAGAAAGGGTCTCACTATTTATCCCAGGCTGGCCTCACACTCTTGACCATCCTCCTGCCTCAGCCTCTGAGAGTGCTGGGATTATGGGTGTGTGTACCATGGTGCCTGGCTACACACAAGAAAATGCAGACAGATATTCATGGGAGTACTTGCTCATAACTGCCAAAAAGTGAAGCAAAGCAAATGTCCACAGACAGACAGAAGGACAGCCTGCGGTGTGTTGGTACAGCAGAAAGTCACTCTGTGCAAAAAGGAACAAAGGAGCCAGGGGTGAGCTCAGTGGCAGAGCAGTGGACTCATGTGCGGTACCCTGGGTTCAATCCTCAGCACCTCTGCCTTCCCAAACAGAAAAGGTGCTGGGTAGTGGCCCACGCCTGTAATCCCAGCACTAGGGAGGCTGAGACAGGAGAATCTCTTTGAGTTCAAGGCCAGCCTGGGCTAATAGAAAGATCCTGGCCCCCACCACCACCAAAAAGGAAGACTGAAGGACTGACCCGTGCTACAACACAGATGAGCCAGGTAAACGAACTGTAAGTGAAGGAAGCCAGACATGAAAGGCCACTGACTGTATGATTCCACGAATCTGCCAGTCCCAGGCAGCCAAATCCACATGGACAGAAGCAGTTGCCAGGGGCTGGGCGACAGGAGGAAGTGCTGAGCAGCACCAGTGTCTCTGGGGCAAATAAATCAATGTCCTGCAGCCACTGTGGTGGGGGCTGCCCCACCCCACGGGGTGAGTTGCATGTGACATGAGTCACCTCAGCCGAGAACCCTGAGCAGGTTTGAATCCTGCCACTGGCTTTAGGTCTGGATCTGCCATGGCGGAGTGGGGCGTGTCCCGGCCCCACTGTCCCTTCCCAAGAGGGGGGTTCTTACCCAGTGGATCCGAGGGGGCGCCCAGTTGGAAGTGGCAAAAAAGGTCACAGATGCCAGGCCGGTGCCAGTGATCACCACCACAGCCCAGATGGGCACGAGGCCACCAATCTTATAGATGCTGTCTGTGGACAGAAAGGGGCAGCTCCAGGTACTTGGCCCAGACCTGCAGAAGCCAAATGCTGGAGATATCGCCGTGTTTTTGTTCTCTTGGCTTGTTTTGTTGACATAGGGTCTCGCTACGTAGCCCAGGCCGGCCTGGAACTTGCTGGGATCCTCCTGCCTCGGCCTCCCAAGTACTGGGATGACAGGCGTGCCCACTGCACAACATCTGGTTGGCGTGTATGCCCCACCCTGGGTTCCGAGCCCCAGGGGTACTCACAGGTCCCGGACTGCAGTGTCAAGACCACAACCACAGGGCTGATGACCAGGTGCAGACAGTTGAGCGGACGTTTCCAGTTCCGGTCGTCTTTGTCCGGGTCCACGACAGGCACGGTGAGGAGCAGGAGGAACTCCACAGGCAGCTGCATGAGTGGGCGGGGCGGGGCTGGGGCCTCAGAGCCGGCAGTGCTGCCCCATGCTGGGCTGCACCGGACCAAGGACAGGGTGTCCCTGACTTTTCTGGCCTCCAGGGGGCGCCGCTCCATTAAGACTGTGCTTCGGTTGCCAGCCTAGCCCCTGCCTTCACCCTCCATTTTTATTTTTATTTTTTGCAATAACGAAGCCAGAGAGTGCTGAACCACATCCCCAGCCAGCCATTCTTAGCTTTTAGTTTTTATTTTTTGGAACTGGGGATTGAACTCGGGTACTTGCGCTTGCAAAGCAGGCAACAGAACCACTGAGCTAAATACCCAACCCCTTAGTTTTTATTTTAAGATGGGGGTCTCAGTAAGTCACTAAGATGCCCAGGCTAGGCTTGAACTTGGGATCCTCCTGCCTCAGCCTCTGGGATAGTTGAGGTTACAGGTGTGCCTGATTTCTTTGGGCTGACCCGGAAATCCAAGGAGCCCCCCCTCTCCCCAAGACGCTTAATCACATCCAGAGCCCTGTGTCACATCAGACCACGTGTCCAGGTTCTGGGATTAGGATGAGGATGTCCTCGGAGGGCTGCTCATACCCTCCTCGTACAATAACCCTGACAAGTGCCTATGAACAGCAGCTGTAATAATCCAGAAACATCCCAGAGGTTAAGGATCCTGTCCTCAGCCACACAGAGGGGTAAGACAGCTGGGATACAGACCACCCAGCTCTGACTCCACACCATGTATCTAGCCAATATCTAGAAGAGTAAGAAAGCCGGGATGGTGGTACATGCTGCAATCCCAGCACTCTGGAGACTGAGGCAGGAGGATTCCCAATTCCAAGGCCAGCCTAGGACACAGCAAGGCCCCTTGCTGTGGCCTCTCCTACCCACAAAAGAACAGGTGCCTGCTGACCCCAGAAGGAGACACAGGCAGACCTGAACCGTGAGCCAGTATGAATTTTTTTTTTTTTGAGTCAGGGTCTCACTGTGTAGCCCAGGCTGACCTTGAACTCACATCCATCCTCCTGCCTCAGCCTCCCAAGTGCTGGGATTATAGGCGTGCATCACCATGCCCTGCTGGTCTGAACTTTAAAGCCACTCTTGTCCACCCATATCGGTCCAGGTGAGGAAAAACACTGTCATACATCAGTGAGACGGGGCTGGGCATGGTGGTGCATACCTGTCATCCCAGCTACTCAGGAGGCTGAAGCAGGGGAACCATAAGTTGAAGGCCAGCCTGGGCAACCTGGTGAGACTCTGTCTCAAAAAATAAAAAGGGCTGGGGATGGAGCTCAGTGGTAGAGTGCTCTTGAGTTCAATTCCCAGTATTACAAAAAAAAAAAAATCTACATGATGGGGGAGGAGTGTTTGTTACCCAGCACCACTCAGCAGTAACTGACTGATACAGCCACTGCAGAGCCCATCACTCTACCGTTATCACTGTCTTACAAAGGAAACTGAGGCCCAGAGAGGTTGAGTGACGGGCCCAAGGTCACAGTGTAGCCAGACCTACTGTAGGGTGCAGGCACGGTTCATTACTGCTCCTGAGACCAAGGAGGCCTAAAATACAGCCCTGGGGTCCAGGCTATTGAGCAACTCCCTATCGTGGTGAGGGCTGAGACCCATGACAGAGCTGGAACAAGGGAGGACACCAAGCAGTAGTCAGGCTTGGGGCCTCTTCACACCTTGAACACCTTGAACACCCTCCAGAACACCGACTGGCTTCTCCACTTCCGGTAATCCAGGGGGTTCAGGGCCGAGGCCAGAATCTGCACCGTGGTCTCCTGGTAGGAGAACAGTGGCCGGTATTCGTCACCTGCGTGCATGGACGGAGGGTGTGGCGGGGCTGGCTGCATCTGCAGGGTGCCCTCTGCCCTCTGTACCATTCCTCTCAGGGCCCTGCGGAAGGCAGACGCCCCAGCCCAGGTGCAGAGAGGGGCAGGGCTCATGTAGCCCCATCCCCCACGTCTTCACCCCAGCAGGACTCAGGGCCCAGCCTCACCATAATCATAGCTGCTGGTGTTCGAAGACACGGGGTCTTCCTCCGAGTCTGGCAGCAGCTCTGCAGGAGACGTTGAGGGATGAAGGGAGATTAAGGCAGATCCCCCAGCACTGTGCTGGGCAGGTGCCTTTTTTGATCAGGCTGGACTTGAACTCACAGTGATCCTCCTGCCTCAGCCTCCTGAGTGCTGGGATCACAGGTGTGCGCCACCAGACCTGACTTGTGTAGACAGATGTTTGTTGGTCCATGGATTTGTTTCTGCCTGTTTGCTTTGTATTATCTGTGTATGTGCACATATTGTGTGTGCTGTGCATTATCTGTGTATGCATAGACTGTGTATGTGTTGTGGTCTGTCGTATTGTGAATGTGTGCATTTGTGTGTGTGTGTGTGTGTTCCCTTGGCTGGGACCCTGCTGTCACGTGCAGGGGGAGCCACAACCCTGCCGGAGGAGGGGAAACTGTTGGCACAGATGAAGCAGGGAGGGACCAGGCCGGGTGCCAAGTCGGCAGCAGCACCTCGAGGGCCGTGGTGGCAGAGGGGTGCCGTCTTCTCCCGGGGACGCAATGAGGCCTCACCTGGTGTCCCCGGCATGGAGTAGCCCAGGGATCTCCTACACTGCCATCGGTAGATCCAGGTGCAGAGGATCACCGAGAGCACGTAGAACACGTACAGGCCCAGGTAGGCTGCGGAAGGGTGTGTGGTCACCAGGGGCGTCCTGGCTATGGGGCCTGGGCACAGGGCCTGATGTGCGGGGTCTCGGCCTGAACCCCTGCTCCTTCCTCCACCTGCCTTGGCCACTTTCCCTTCCTCTCACCGAGACCCCTGGGCTGGGCTGGGCAGCAGGACGCAGCTGGTGTGCAGTCAGTGCTCCCTCCGAGCCGTGGGCCCTGGCCCGGCCCTGCCCCTCTGCAGCCGGGCCTCCACCCTCTGAGCAGAGCGCCCTGCTTGCTGATACCCCTGCCTGGCAGCTGCCGCTCACCCAGGGCCCAGGCCAGCGTGACCCTGCCGAGGTACAGTGCGGTGAAGGTGAGGAACACAGCTGTCAGGTAGAAAACGACGTCCCTGAGAAAGGGCCTGGAGGTGGCCAGGAAGGGGCGCAGGATGGTGATGCCTCCGGCCACCACAGTGGTGACCAGCACGCCAGCGCCTGGAGGGCAGCGACCAGGTCAGCACCCCGCATCCCTCCTCCCACCCGGCCCCCACCCGCCAGGCCACACACACCAAACAGAGCCCCGATGGCCAGGCTGGCTGTGCGTGGGTCCGAGAAAGCCACCAGAGCACTGATCCTCCGGCCACCACAGTGGTGACCAGCACGCCAGCGCCTGGAGGGCAGCGACCAGGTCAGCACCCCGCATCCCTCCTCCCACCCGGCCCCCACCCGCCAGGCCACACACACCAAACAGAGCCCCGATGGCCAGGCTGGCTGTGCGTGGGTCCGAGAAAGCCACCAGAGCACTGAAGATGTCGGGGGCGCCGTTTCCAAAGGCCAGGAAGGTGACGCCATGGGAATCAGGTCAAGGAGGGGTTGTTCAGGCCCCCACTGGGCCACAAGCCATGCTGTGCCCAGCCTCCCCTGTGCCTGCCACCCTGCAGGGAGCGGGAGCTCAGGCCAAAGGATACTGCCACGTTGTGGGACAGCTTGAGGGTGGTGGCGATGGCTGACAAGTTGGGGCAGAAGCTGCAGAGGAAAAGTGGACAGTGAGGGCTTCCGTAGACACTGGCCCTGCCCCACGTTCTCCAAAGCCAGGGCCCAACTCACAACTTGGCTGCAGTGACTCCCAGAACCAGAAACAGGTACAGCAGCCACAGAACCTGGGTAGGGATGGAAGGGGACAGGTGAGTTCCTGTAGGGCCATGTGCCCCTCTCCCCAGCTCCCGGGTGGGGACGCACATAGAGGGTGATGGTCAGGGGCAGCAGGCCGGGCGCGAAGTGGCAGAAGATGCCCTCGAGGTAGTCCAGGTAACCACTGTCGCTGTGGCAGCTGGGGTTGGAGCGGACAAAGGCGCAGCGGTCAGAGACATTGAGGCCGCACACGCTGCGACACTGCGGGGCAGGAGGGAAAGGTTGTTAGGGACAGAGTCCAGGGCTGTCGGATCAGGCCCGTGTGAGCAATTGGACAAAAATTCCCTTTGGCCTGTCCTCGAACTCCCCATGCCCTCCAAGTACCAATGGCACAGTTTTGTTTTTTGGGGTTTTTTTGCACAGTTTTATTTTTAAAAACAGTCTTGTGGCCAGATGAGGTGTTGTGTAGCTGTAATCACAGCACTTGGAAGGCTGAGGCAGGAGAATCTATCTCTGCGGGTTCAAGGCTACCCTGGGCTAGATATTGATTTCAAGGCCAGGCTGGACTACATAGGCAGGACCTTGCCTCATAAAAATCAAACCAAAGCAACCTCAAAACAACAACAAAAAGTTTGTGGCCAGGAGTGGTGGTTCTCACCTAGAATTCCAACTACTTGGGAGGCTGAAACAAGAGGATCCCAAGTTCAAGCCCAGTCTGAATTACATAGTGAGAGAACTTGTCTTAAAAAAATGAGGAATAACAAAAACAAAACAAAACTTGTATTTGAAATTTACAAAAGTTAGCACACTCAGGTTTGTTTTAAAAGACTCTTTCTTTCTTTCATTTTTGTTTCCTTGGTCCTGGCGAAATCCAACCCAGGGACACTACACCAGTCGGCTATATCCTTGGCCCTTTTTCATTTAGAAACAGGGTCTCACTACATTGTTCAGCAGGTTGTTTTTTTTTTTTTTAATTTGCTGTTACTGTGCTGTGTTTTGCAGAGATGGGTACAGAACCTGGGGTCTCATGTATGATGGGCAAAGACTCCACCACTGAGCTTCATCCCCAGACCAAGATTTCTATATTTTCCCTTCTCATTCCTGCCTTCCATAATCTCTCACTGCTCCTCAGGCCTCCCACCATGATCAGTTTGAAGCACATCCTTATAGACATTTCTCAGTTCTCTACATTGTATATAAACCCTACTATTCAGCAATCCCCACACTCTGGGAGGCTGAGGCAGGAGGATCACAAGTTTGAGCCTAGCCTTGGCAACTTAGCAACACAGCAAGAACCTGTCTCAAATGCTAAACATGCAGCTCAGTGCACAGGTCCTGAGTTCAATACCCAATATGGGGAGGGCGGAGAGTTCACCTTATATTTCTTTCTTTTTTTCCTATGCTGGGGATGGAACCCAGGGCCTCACTCATACTAGCCGAGTGCTCTGCCACTGAGCTACAACCTCTGCCCCCATCCGAAATCTCTTATTTCTGCCTTTAGCTTTTACCACTTGGCCCATCACACACTGATACACGTAACATAGACATACTCTAAGCCCAAAGTACGGAGCAGTGCTATGAGTTTTAAATGGATGTGCATTAATCCGCCCAACACACTTTCCAGGAAGTTACTGCTATTGAGCTAATTATACAGTGGAAGAGGCTACGGCCACTCCCAGGACCCACTCAGGGGCAGCCACATTGGAACCCAGGAAGCTGGAATTACTAGAGCTGTTGTTCACTGTTGTTATTGTTTTGTTTGGTTTTGGTTTCTTGAGACAGGGTCTTGATATGTAGCCCAGGCTGTCCTCAAGAACTTGCAGTATTCCTCCTCCCTCAGCCTCCTGAGTGCTGAGAATACAGGTGTGAAGCCACCACGCCCGACTTTTTGTTTTGTTTCATTATGGGTCCAAGTATTTACTAAGCTGCCCATGCTGGACTCAAACTTATGATCCTCCTGCCTCAGCCTCCCGAGTGCTAGGACAACAAGTATGTGTCACTTTGCCCAGCTGGAGTTGCTGTGCTTGTTGTTTCTGTGGCATTGGGATTGACCCCAGAGCATCTGCACTGAGCTGCACTCCCCAGTCCTTTTTATTTCTTATTTTGAGACAAAGTTTTTCTAAGTCACTGAATTGCCCAAGCTGAGCTCAAACTTGGGATCCTCCCGCCTCAGCCTCCCAGGAAGCTGGTGCTCCGATGGCTCTCTCCTGCCTGCCTGCAGTGTTTTCCATCAAAGCAGCCATGGCTTTCATGCTGCTCTTAAAAATGCTGAGGAGGGGCTGGAGATGTAGCTCAGTGGCACAACACCTGCCTGGCAAGTGCAAGGTCCTGAGTTCGATCACTGGTACTGCAAAAAATAAATTAATTAAATTAAAAATGCTCTGGTGGTGCACGGTGGCGCACGCCTGTAATCCCAGCACTTGGGAGGAGGCTGAGGCAGGAGAATTGCTGTAAATTTGAGGCCAGCCTGAATTACATAGCGAGATCCTGTCTCCAAAATATGCTGAGGATACACAATGGAGATACACTTTCCCTGCAGTGACCGTGTGAGTGTGACTCATTTCACAATGTTGCCACAGTGAAATTCCTCACATGGGGCTCTCAGAGAGAAGTCTAGAAGTGAAAGAGATGAGTCTGAACACCTCCTAGTCTGGGAGCCTCTAGAAGCAGATCCAGAGAGACTTGGGCAGATGTATGGAAGACAAGTACACAGACAGAAAAGCAAGCCATCATGGTGGCACACACCTGTAATCCCAGCTACTCAGGAGGCTGAGGCAGGAGGGTTGCAAGTTCAAGGCCAGCCCAGGCAGCTGAGTGAGACTCTGAGTTCCAACCCCAGCAACAACAAAAACCAGACAATAAGAAATGTTGGTTGATGTCTAGAAACTGGAACCCTTGTGCACTGCTGGTGGGGCTGGCAATCGGACAGCAGCTCCTCAAAAGCCAACCTGGTGATGATCCTACTTCCGGGCATCTACCCAAGAGCCTCAGAGATGTTTGTCTGTCCACACACACAGCAGCATTACTTGTAACAGCCAAAGAGTTTGGGAGCAACCTAAGTGTTTTTCAGTGGATGACTGAATAGACAAAATACGGCCCAGGCAGCCAGACATGGCAGGGCACGCCTGTGATCCCGACTCTTCAGAAGGCTGAGGCAGGAAGGTTGCAAGGTTCCAGGTCAGCCTGGGAAACTTAATGAGACTTTCGAAATAAAATAAAAAGGGCTCAGTGGTAGAGTGCTTGCCTAGCATACGTGAAGCACTGGGTTCCATCTCTTAACACTGCAAAAAAGCAAAAATGAAAACCACACAGAAGCAAGTCTTGGATTTCTGTCACCCCCCTCCCCACTCAGCCCCCAGCTTACACCCAACAATACAAGTCCAGCCGACTCCTTCCAGACAGGGAGAGGAATGACCCCTCGGCCTAGGCCTTGGGGCTCAGTCTGGGTCTTGGACTTTGCCGGCAACACATGGTCACCAGAAAGGAGGCAGTGCTGCCTGAGACCACTTCCTGTCTGGGATGTGGCTGCTCAGTCCCCACCAGCTTCAGTGATACTATTTAAGCTCTGGGTTTTCTTCATCTGTTTGCTTGGTGCTGGGGATTGAAACCAGGTCCTCTGGAGCATGCTAAACATAAATTGAGACAGAGGTCTATAGTTTAGGCTGGTCTTGTACTCACTATGTAGCCCAGACTGCCCTTGAACTCACAGCGATCCTCCTGCCTCAGCCTCCCAGGTGCTGGGATTACAGGTGTGCACCGCCAATAGGCCTGGCTACTGGAATCCATCTCCTCTGTCCATCTCCACCCCACAGAGGCTCCAACCTGGCCTCCTGACCCCCAAGCTTAGGAGAAGGGCTTTAAAAATGCACCACTTGGGGCTGGGGTGACTCTGTGGTAGGGCAAACCTGGATAGCACCACAAAAAACCAGCAACAAGCAACCTAGGAGCAGCTTTTGTGGAAGCTGTTCCTGCTGCCCGCCACACACATTTCTGCCAGGAAGCCCTCCCAGACTGCTCTGGCCTAGCTTGGCCAGACACACATAAGCTGTCCAAGCACCCTTCAGTCCAGGTCTTCCTCAAAGATCCTGTTTTGCAACCACTCAACTGTCTGTAGGGTCACAGACTCGTTCAAGTTCTGCCGATCCACCAAGCCCCGGTGGCCCAGTGCCTGGCACGCAAGGACCCTTGCCACTTCTGACCTGAGAGCTCAGAACCATTGTTCCTGCTTCACACTGGGCGTGGTGGTAGCCTCAGCAGCACTCTGGGAGGCTGAAGGAGGAGGGTGGCAAGTTCAAGCCTAACCTGGGCAACTTCACAACTTAGTGAGACCCTGTCTCCAAATAAAAAAGGGCTGGGGATGCAGGTGACATTCAGTGCAAAAGCCAAGATTTAATTACCCAGCCCTGAAAAGTTTTTTAATCTTTGAAAGATTTTCCACTTCAAAGATGAGATGGTAGCACAGAGAGGCAAAGTGACAGTCCCCAGGCCACACAGCCACCGTGCCAATGGCTTCAGACTGGCTCTGTGTGACAGTTACTGGCCACAGGCCTGGGAGAAATAAATTGCCCAATGGACCAGACAGAGCCTCTTCCTCTGGCTCTTTCCCACTACCTGCCCTCCCTCCTGCCTCCTCCTGGTCCCCAGGGTCAGCCAGGAGATGCTTCCTAGCCTGTGGCAGAGATGAGTCAGCAAGGCAGGGCCTCCACGGCCTCCAGGAGTGACTTCCTGCCACAGCCCCCCCACCGGAAGTCCCCTCCCCAGGCCACAGGCCCCAGGCCCAGCCACCTGGTGTGGTAGACGAAGGCGGCCTGGTCTGAGCCCCACACCCTCTTCCCTAGCCCCAAGGGACCCAGAGAAGCACAGGATTGGGGGTCATCCTGGACAGGAAGACAGCCAGGCAGGGGAGGAAGTGTGCTAACCACAGGAGCTGCAGTGAGCTGGGAATTGCACACCTCATTGAAACGCCTCATTACAAACACCCTGCACAGGCTGCAGAGAGAAGGAAAACTGCTGCAGCGAGCTGAACCACACCTGATATGGCCATTGTTTTGCAATCCACGCCAGACAGGGGCAGTGGGGCACAGGCGCCCTGAGTGTGAGACCCATCTTGGCCACCAGCTTGCTGTGTGACTTTCAGGCAGCCCCTAAACGTCTCTGGGCTTCAGCTTCCTCAGCTGCTCTGGAGCATCATCAGAACTGCTCTGGCCACTGTCACTCTGATGTCACCTGTCCATGGCCCAGTGTAGGACACAGTCTCCTGGCTCCATGGAAAGGTGAACAATTAAATAACTAGGGAATCAAAGAATCTTTTCTTTTAGGAAATCCTTTCCAAGGATTTTATACTCCAGATGCTGTCCCCAGATGTTGTCATGGACAGCCAAAGCCACCTCCCCAAGCAAATGTAGGCCCTGGTGGTGGTGGTGGTGGTGGTGGGGTCACAGCACCAGCTCATTCTTCTGGGCTGTGCTCAGGTCAAAGATCCAGGCCCAAAGATCCAAATCCCCGGAACCTGTGAATCCATCACTCCCCATAGCCAACCGTGATTCAGCTGAGGAACTTGGGATGGGAAGATTATTCGGGACTGTCTGGGCCTAAGGGAGGCAGAACCTGCAATCCCAGGACTTGGGAGGCTGAGGCAGGAGGATTGTCCTGAGCCCAAGGCCAACGGGGGCAATGTACTGAGTTCAAGGCCAAGTAGAGTGCGGGAGCTGGACAGACAGGGAAGCGTGCTCCCCATACAGCCTCCGAAAAGACCCAGCTGGGCCACTGGCCTTGATTTCAGCCCTGAGAAAACAATTATGGCTTCTGATCACTAGAACTGCAAGATAACAAGTTTGTGGTTTTGTCTTGTTTTGTTTTTTTTCGACAGTCTTGCTATTAGTTCAGGCTGGTCTTGAACTTGTGTTCAATCTTCCTGCCTCAGCCTCCTGAGTGCTGGGATTACAGGTGTGCACCACACAGCCAAATATTTCCCCCTTTCCAGGACATGTGATTCCAATACAGCATGAAAGGAGCCACGATATGCAAAGGGCAGGCTCTGCCCGTGACAGGTGAACGATGGGTACGTCCATGTGCCGACAGCACTTTGTGGGCACCGATGTTTGAGACCTCACCTAACCTCTGTGGTGAGACAGCTCCCAGCAGCCCTCTCTGCCCAGCAGTACTGGCTGCGTCCCACTGCTGACTCCTCAGTCCTGAGCAGATTCTTCTTTCCCAACAACCTCTGGGCCCAGGGGGCTGTTGCCAGCCCTGCCCCTGCCCTCAAGGCCAGCCTGGGGCAGCCTCACCTAAGGGCTTTAGGTACTGGGTGGCTGGGCAGGTTCTGCTCCGCTTGCCTCCCCAGCCAGAGCCCTTCCAAGGCCACTGCCATAGCCTCACCAGGATAGCTACAGCCATCACCCCATTCCCTGCTCTGCCCCCAAAGCAGCCCAGTGGGATGCTGTAAAAATGGAGACCACTCCCATCTGTGCTCTTAATCCTGCTGTGGCTCCCACCGCACCCCTAGGAACAGCCCCAGTTGGTACAGGGGCCCACACAGCCTGCATGACGTGGCCCTGTTACCTCTCCTGCCATGTTCCCTGGAGTTTGCCTGTGAAAAATACCATTCTACTCCTGCCCCAGGGCCTTTGCACCTTCAGGCCCCTCTTCCTAGACTGCTCTTCCTCCACATCTTCATGAAGCGTCCAGGTTTGATTCAAAACATCACCTCTTCAGAGAACAAAGCAGCTGCCCCCTCCCCATTTCCTTCTCCCACATCCCTCGTCCGTTTTGTTTTATTCATCATCAGCTGAAGTTATCCTGAGGGTTTCTTTCTTTCTTTTTTTCCTTCCTTCTCTATTTGGATTTTTAGGATAGGGTCTCACTATGTAGCCAGGCTGGTCTTGAATTCATGATCCTCCTACCCCAGCCTCCCGAGTGAACACCCAGCTCAGTATATTTATTTCTTGATCTGCTTCATGAAGAACATAAGCTTTACAGGGGCAGGGACCACAATATCCCAGGCACACAATAGGTGCTCAATCAATGTCTCAATGAACGAGGATGACCTGAGTTTCCTTGGCTTCCGGGCTCAAAGGACAGTGGTAGAACCTGCCTAAGGACGGGTGCTCGACTGCTGGGAGGCAGCAGGCTCGAGAGGACACAGGCAACTGCCCAGCCTGTGCACCTACTTGTCCCTGAGCTTTGGCATCCCCAGCTCTGTGCAGGCTGCTGTGGGTGGCACTGGTGAACCCACCCCAGCTGGCTGATGACCTGGATTTAACCTGGCCTGAGCCTGCAGTGGATTTCATGTCCATGACTTTCCTACCCCTTACACTCTCAGACCCTACCAGAGGCCCAGGGTGGGTGGGGTGGGGAAGACCAGCCCCCTGCTGCAGGGAGCACCCAGGGGGCACCATTTTTATTTGTTTGTTTTGGGTTTTTGAGACAGGGTTTCTCTGTGTAGCCCAAGCGGTAATCCTCCTGCCTCAGCCTCCCAAGTGCTGGAATTAGAAGTGCGCCACCACTAACTTTGCTAACTTTGCTTTCTCTCACCACTATACTCTCCGAATCCATTGGTAGATCTGCTGGGCAACATTTACTCCAAATTCTCCCTCTCGTTTCCGGCCTCGCTGACCTCCTCACTTCCATGGTGGTAGGGCCCCCTCGCTGGTTTCCTGGCTACTCGCCTGTCCCCTCTCAATCCATCTCCCCCCAGCAGCCAGAGATCACTTAATCATATGAATCAGATTTCGATATCCTGCTGCTAAAAACCCACGAAAATCATTCTCACCTACTAGGCTTAGCCCCAAGGGCCTTGGTGATCTGGCCACCTGGGCCTCTCCACCCACAATCATCTCCCATTCCGTCACCCAGTCCTGGCCGCCAGTCTGACCTCCTGGCTATTCTAGAAGCACATGGGGCTTGCTCCTGCCCCAGGACTTACCCTTACCATTTCCTGGGGCAGGGGATGCTCTTTCCCCAGAAGGCTGTGTAAGTGACTTCCTGTCTCCGTGCAGGGCTGGGTGTAGGGCCACAGAGGGCAGCAGAGACCCCATCCAGCAGAAGCCGGACACACCATCCCCCTGACTTCATCTGCTCTCTGCAGGGCACCTAGGACCCCAGCACCTGATTGCTCAAGTTTACTTCTGCTTTTCTTTCTAGGAGCAAGGCTGGAACCCAAGGCCTTACACATGCTAAGCAAGGGCTTCACCACTAAGCTACATACCCAGCCCTTTTTAAAATTTTTTAAAATTTTTTAAAATTGCCCAGGTGGTGCTCCTCCTCCTGCCTTGGCCTCCTAGAGTGCTGGAATTACAGATGTTCCCCAACATACCTACTCTTTATTTTTCTATGTTGGGCCAGGGTCTACATCCATTTACCCAGGCTGGTCTCAAAATTGGTATCTTCCTGCCTCAGCTTTCCAAGTAGCTGGGATTATGGTCAAACACCACGATACCCAGCTTAAATTTACCTATCTGCCTGCCTGGGAGACTGAGCTCCATGAAGGCAAGGATTTGGGCTCTGGATCTGTTCCCTGGTATACTGCAGGCTTCCGCTAGGTGCTTGATAAACTCGTGCTCATGGAATGAGGGCCCCCGCCTGACCCCGGCTTCCAGCCTGGATACTCACGTCCACCATGGGGGCCTGGGTGACACCTGCAGCTGGAAACGGAGCAGCCCCTGGGGACGGGGCCCTGGCCCCAGATGCCGCCTCTGCCATCAGCAGCGTGCAGAGCCAGCTCAGCAGCCGGCGCAGGTCCAGATGTCCACCGGCCATGGGCCGCAGGCCTGGTCCTCCCTGAGCTCCACTCGGGGTCCAGGAGCTGCAAGGCGGGAGATGGGGAAGCTGTGTCACCAAGGGGCAGGGACCCAGTGGAAGGCCAGAGGCTGGTCCTGTCCCCATCGCCCAAGCCAAAGAAAGCCAAGCACAGAGCAGAAACGTGGGGCAGGGGCATCTGTGGGCCCACCGGGCAGCAAGCAGAGGCCTGTCCTTCCTCCTTCCTCTGCGCCATCAGGGAGGGTGGTGGGAAGTGGTGGAGGGATGGGAGCCCTCAGAATGCAGGAAACCTACTTCCAGGTGACTTGCCCTGTTTCACAGCCAGTACAGTGTGTGTGTGTGTGTGTGTGTGTGTGTGTGTGTGTGTGTGTGTGTGCGCGCGCGCCTGAGGATTAAACCCAGGGTCTTCCCACTGAATCAAATCCCCAGCCCTTTTCATTTTTTAAATTTGAGACAAAGTCTTTATAAATCTTTAAATCGCCCAGGCTGGGCTCGAATTTGCAAACCTCCTGCCTCAGCCTCCCCAAGCGCTGGCATCACAGGTGTGCACCCCTGTACCTGGCTCGGAGCAGTGCTGTGGTTGATCTTGGAGTGAATGCAGCATGTTGCAGGGACGACCTCATGTAACCCCCAGGTATAGACCCACTTTACAAATGGGCACACCGAGGCAGAGCCAGTCCCAGCCACGGAGGACAAAGCTGGCAACCTCACTGCCCTCACTGGATCAGCGCCTCTGTTGGAGAAACGGTCCAGGAAGTGAATTAATTGCTCACAGCCACACAGGCGTGCGGCAGAAATGACCTCTGCCTCTTCCCTCAAGGCCCCGGGAAAGGCTTCATTTTTTCTTCAAACAATTTAAATTGAGCTAGGTGAGGCTGTGAACACCTGTGATCCCAGCACTTGGGAGGCTGAGGCAGGAGGGCTGTAAATTCCAACCCAGGCTGAGCTACATAGCAAGACTGTCTCACAAAGCCAAAACAGGGGGGATTAAACTGGGAAAATATGTCTCTGGCAAACGGCTTTGTGCACTTTCCCACGTGTTGTACAATGAGTATGTTTTATTTCTGCAATCAGGAAAAACAAAATTCATAAAACAATGGGTTTTTGTTTGTTTGTTTGTTTGTAATGCTCTACCCACACATTTCCCCATGTCTTGGCAGCTGAAGGGAGTGAGGAGAGGACAGGAGGGACAGGAAGGCTCCTGCCCCACCCCGCCCCTCACCTGTTGGATCCAGACCAGGCCCTTCTCCGCCTGGTTCTCCTGAGGATCCCACGTGCAGTACCTCTCTCCACGGCACCGTGGTGGACTGAGAAACACCCGCCTCAGCAGCCTGCGATCTGGGCTGCCTCAGGGAGCTCAACCCACCTCTCTAGGTCCCACTGGCTGCTAGAAATGGGCACAGCCGCTGGGGGGCGGAGACCCGACTAGAGACCCATGGCTCTTCTGGCCTCTACTTGCTGACAATTCTTTCTTTTTTGAGACAGGGTCTCGATATGTAGTCCAGGCTGGCCTTGAACTCACTTTGTAGCCTCCAACCCATGAGGATCCTCCTGCTTCAGCCTCCCTTGTGCTGGGATTACAGGCGTGAGCACCGCACCCCGAAGTCGCCCACTCACCTCTGATACGTATTTATTGAGCTCTTCCTACATGCGTGACCCCGGCGAACACTGGAAGGGGACGAAGGAACCCGGCGGCGCTTTGGAGCGAGGGCCGCGCTACCCGGGGCGTCTCTGGCTCCGTCCCGAGGGCTGTTGAGAAGTTAAACTTTGGGTGCGTGTTGGGAGTGCAGGGCGGCTTCGCTCACCTCAGGCCGCGCCTGCAGCCTCAGAAGTCGAACCCGAACCCCGCCAGGACTCGAGGCCGCCCGGTCCCCGTCAATAGCCAGTACTGCACGACCTCTGTTCGGATCTGATCCTCCCGAGCCAGCGCGGGCCGCCCGGTCTCGGCCTCGCCCAAATGGGCCGCGCCCCTCGGACACGCCCACGGAGGCTCGCCCCGCCCCGGCTCTTAAAGGCACAGGCTCTCGCTATAGGGAGGCGGTCTCCACAGTCCGCACCCTCCTCCTCCCCTGTGACCCTCAGCTTTTGGCTTCTGCTTTGAAAGCAGAAACTGAAGTGAAAGTAGATGACACTAATGGAAAAAGACAGCCGGAGGCCAACGGGGGGCAGTTACGGGGTAAATCCGGGAGATTCCTCCTCCTTCCAGCGGATGGGATGGGGGAGAGGGTATTAATCTGCTTTCGGGAATGAATGTGGTAAGAAGAATCTGGGTGTCAGCGCTTCCGGGAGGCTGAGGCGAGAGAACGGCGAGCTCGAGCCCAGCTTGTGCAACTGGACGGCAGACACTGGGTTTCTGTGACTTTCGTCACTCCTGAGGCCTCCCGAGCATCAGTTTCCTTCCTTCAATACGGAGATGGCGATGGCACCCGCCTCGCGGGGTCCGGGAGTGGTAGTCCTGTGTGTGAAGCCCCAAGGCCCAGGCCTGACGCCGAGGACACCCCCTGCCCAGAAGCCCCCGCGGTCACTCTCACCCCGTTACTGGGACAGTGCTGACTTGGGAATCCCTCCCAGAAGTCCCGCTGTCGCGCAGCCCAAGGCCAGTGTCCGCAGTCGGAATGAACCGGCCTGCGCTGCTGGGATCCGGCCACCTGCTGCCTGGGAGGAAGCTCTGTCCTGCTGAGGTTGGAGCCAGGGTCCTCTGTCCCTCCTAGGGCCTCCGACCTTGGGGCCCAGACACCCAGCAAGGGGTGGCCTCAGTGTCGCCGTCGCTGGTCATCTGAGCCAGCGGCTCCCAGGGCTGAGGTGGGCGGGGGTCCAGCAAGGGCGGGAGTTGAGAGGTGAGAGGCTGAGGGAGGGGACAGACCTGGGGACAGAGAGGGAGGCCGAGGGGCTGGAAGCAGCCTTGATTAACCTTGCCCTGATGGCTAGAGGTAGGGTCAGGGCCCCTTTTCTAGACTGGAAAAAAGCTGGGGAACCTAGTGCTGTGTAAGGAGCGATCCCTGAAAGTAGACGCTGAATGCAACAGCATTTTATTCATTAACTTATTTCTTTTTGTGGTACTGGGGTATTGAGCCCAGGGCCTTTGCACTGAGCTACATCCCCAGCCCTTTTTATTTTTTATTTTGAGATGGAGTCTCCACGAGTTGCTAAATTGCCCCGACTGGACTGGAAGTTGCAATCCTCCTGCCACAGCCTCCCAGAGTGCTGGGACCACAGGTGTGCACCATCATGCCCAGCTACCAGTCTGCCTTTCTGAAGGTCATGAATCAGAGCAGGGCTCAGGGTGGTGGTCTGGGCTTGGGTCAGAGGGTGGCTGGCAGGCAGCAGGGGCCTCTCCACGTCGCCTCTCTGGGGGAGCTGATATCCAGGCTCCCCTCGAGCCTGCTTAAATGGAACAAGAAGGAGCTGGCCATGGGGGCCAGAGAACAGAAAGAAGCTCTACTGCCTCATGTGATGGCTGTGGGAGTGATAATTGGTCACAGTGTCACCTCTGCCCTGGTCACAGAGCCACTCCAATTTAAGACGTGGGAACACCCCACCTCTCCACAGGAGACTTGTCTGTCACATGGTAGGAGGAGAATGTGGCATCCCAGAACTAGAGGGGACCATAGCTAGAAAGCAAGAACTTCCAGGCCGGGTGTGGTGGTGCACCTGTGACCCCAGCACTCAGGAGGCTGAGGCAGGAGGATCACTGAGTTCAAAACCAGCCTGGGCTACATAGTGAGTTCCAGGTCAATCTCAACTATATAGTGAGACCCTGCCCCCACCCAAAGAAAGAAAGAAAGAAAGAAAGAAAGAAAGAAAGAAAGAAAGAAAGAAAGAAAAAGAAAGAAAGAAAACAAGAACTGCCACTAGGCCTTTGTCTGCAGAGGTGGCATGTGGGGTGTCCAGGTGGCATGGTGAGCAGTGGAGGGAGCTGTATTTTAGAGGGAGGAGGGGAAAGGACCTCAGATCCCATGGATGGACAGCTGCCTATGAGGTCACATGTGGGGTGACTTGTCCTTGGCTCCTTTTTTTTTTGAGACCAGGGTCTCACTATGTAGCTCAGGCTGGCCTTGAACTCTAGGTAATCCTCCTGCCTCAGTCTCATGATTGCTAGGATTACAGGCCTGAGTCAGCTCTATATTGAAGATTTACACATATGCTGTGTATTCGGTGACAACCCTATGGCTGGGGGGCACAGTGATCCCCATTTCCCCAGGGAGGGAAATCACCAGTCCCCAGACGCAGAGTTGTGCCCTCGTATGAATGACCCCAGTTGCATCCACTTCACCACTGGGACCAGGTACCCAGGGACAGCAGAAACAGGAAGGGGTGCTCGAAAGGGAGAGAAGCAGATGTTTCAGTCTGAGTCCGGGGATCTGGAGGGTCCTGGAGGTGCTTGAGCCTCACTGTTAACTGAGCTGAATGTTGCTGCTGATCTCAGCAACTCCAGGCTAATAGTCCATGGCACCTACTTACAACCCATAAGGACAGGGAGCTCACTACTCTATGGTCACCCCATGATTAGCAGACAGTACCAGTTGCACAAGAGGGTTTTTGTTGTTGTTCTTTTGTTCTAGGGGTAGAATCTAGGGCCTTGCACATGCTTGGCAAGGGCTTTCTACCACTGAGCTACCCAGCCCCTATGAGATTTCTTTTCCTTTTCTTTTCTTTTTTTTTTTTTCTTTTGTTTCATTATGTAGCCCAGGCTGCCCTCCAATTTATGATCCTCCTGCCTCAGCCTCCTGAGTGCTGGGATTCCAGGTGTGTGTCAGCACACACCCAACTTAGAATATTTTTATTGACACTGCTAGAAGCCATCTGGCCTCGACTCATCCTTCTGGATTGACAGTTAGTCAATTCCCAGCTTCTGACGCTTGGAAACACTTGAACCCTTTCCCCCACCTGGAGCTCTTGTGAAGATGAGACTTTTTGGCCAGTGTGCTAAGCAGGATGTTTCCTGAAGCAAGTGTCACAATTCTGCAGTGATCAGAAGCAACCTACGGGTTCAGCATGAGGGGACTGGACTGGAATACTGCTCTGCAGCCAACAAACCTTCTGCTTTTGGACACAGAAACCTTTGCTTTACGACACTGAACCTACACAAAGCATAATAGTGACAGAGCAGGCAGCTGGGTATAGTGGAGTGTGCCTGTGATCCCAGCAATCAGGAGGCTGAGGCAGGAAAATCACCTCAAGTTTAAGGGCCAGTCTGGGCTGCATAGTGAATTCAAGGCCAGACTGCACTACATAGTGAGGCCCTATTAAAAAAAAAAAAATAGTGGCCAAGCAGAATTTGAACCTATTTGTACCACATAAGATCATTTGGTTTTTTTGCAGAGCTGGGACTAAACCCAGCATCCTGTGTACGCCAGACAAGTAATGGGCTAAAAGCTGCACCCTGGCCTAACTTACACTTTTTGTTTTCTTTTGTGTGGTTTTTTTGGGGGGGTACTGGGGATCGAACCCAGGACCTTGCACTTGTGAGGCAGGTGCAGCACCACTGAGCTAAATCCCCAGCCCATTGTGTGTTTTTTGTTTGTTTGTTTGTTTGTTTAGTTTGGTTTTTTTTTTTTTTTTGAGGCAGAGTCTTGCTACTTAGTTTAGGCTGGCCTTGAATCTCTTTCTGACAAATTTCAAATTGCCTCAGTTTCTCCATTGGTAAAGTAGAGTTGGCAGTTGTAGGAACTTCTTGGGTAACTGAGAGTAATCTATGACAGGAAGTGTTCACAGAGGGCTGGGGATTTAGCTCAGTGGTTCCTCCACCTGCCTCACAAGCGCAAGGTCCCAAATTTGATCCCCGGTACAAAAGAAAAAGAAAAAAGAAAATGTTCACAGTAAGCGATTCTCACTGACTGGTGTTCATGCCAAAGAGCTGAGCTGAGCACGACAGCATGTGTCAGTCTGTAATCCCAGCTCTTTGGAGGCTGAGGCAGGAGGACCAAGAGTTTGTGTCCTGTTGTCTGAGACCCTGCCTCAAAAATACGAATACGAAATAACAAGGGGCTGGGGATGGGAGCAACTGTTTTCCAGGGGTGGACAGGGGTGCTCCCAGTTCATCAGAGGTGCAGGAATGGGGGGTACCCTCGAGGCTGTAGAAAGTCACTTTGAGGCACATCAGGAGCCACAGCCATCACACGCACTGCTCCTCCCTTATGGCTCCTCTGTTCCTGCTGCAATGCCAGGCTATTTCCTGCCACAGGCCCTTTGTACTTACTGCTCCCTGCTGCAGGAATGCTCTTCCTCATTTACCTTCTCAGCACTCCTCCTTCTTTAGGGTTTCTGCCCTCACTGTCTCCCCCATTCCTACTGGACATAGTCTTTATTAAGTTTGTCATCCTTTTCCCCCCATGGAAGGGGGTCACACAAGGGCCAGGATTTCATCCATCTCGTTCACTGCCTTGTCCCTGGGCCTAGGACAGACTTGGCCCACAGTAGATGTGCAGTTGATTCAGTTCTGTTAGTCGTTATTGTCACCACCACTCAGTCCCAACGGAGTTCTGCACACCAGGCAGTTTGCAGCCTGGAGACACAGTGCTTCCCTGGGTCGGGGCGATCAGCAGGGCCCTTCTACCAGGGAGGGCTCTGGATGCAGCCTGACTAGGGAAAGACGCAGCACAGGACGGTCCCCACTTGGGTCACAGGTCTGGGCACGGTGGCACATGCGTGTAGTCCCCGCACTCTGGAAGGCGGAAGCTGCAGGATTGCAAGTTTGAGCCCAGCCTGGGCACCTTGGCAATTTAGCAAAACCTCGGATGTAACGGGGTTCGATTCCCAGAACGAGGAAGAAGCAAAGACTAATTAAGTGTAACCACACATTAGCAACTGATAACGAGTACGTGAGCTTTATTCTTTCAACTCGTTTCCAGACGCAAAGATGTGCAAAGTAAAAAGGCGGAGAAGTGAGGAAGCGGGCTTTTCCTAGGGGGCGGGCCCTTTAAGATGTGCCCCGCCCCGACGTCGCCCT